GCGCTTAATCCATTTGCATGTAAAGTACTTATCGATAGGTATGTAGAGCTGCGTGTCCTCCATCCGCTCTGTCTGGCCCACTCGTCCATCCCTCAGAGAGAGGCATCGAGATTGGGTCCAACTTACTAACATTGCAAACGATGTTAACAACAGACATCTTTATGCACATTCTCTATGGACGAGTGTGAGAATTTCTCCAGGTCGACTCCTGGTTCATGGGGTACATGGTGCTGGATGTATCTAAACACCCAGCAGCACACAGTCTATTCATTCTCACAGCAGCAGATCCCGGGAGTCTCCTCATTAGGCATTAATCAGATTTTGATGTCTAAAGATCTTGGAGTATAAAGTAATCTCTCATTATCCTAATTCGCCTCTCTTAATTACCCATGAGTTTGTGCATTTCTCCTACCCTGTTAGACTGTGAGGTTTCCTCTTCGAGGAATAACCAATTCAGTGTCCTTTGCCCATTTTCTTTTGGGATTCTTGTCTTTTTCTTGTTGATTGGGCAGAATTCCTTGCTGTCACCTAAATCCCTTGTCAGTTTTAGGCCATGAAAATGTCTTCTCCCAATTCCTTTGTCTATTAACTCTTTCCGCAGCAGTCTTTGAGATCAGAACTTGTGATGCAGTCAGCCCCTTCGATGTTTCTGCCTTATGGCTCATGCTTTGACGCCATGGTTTAAGAAGTCTTTCCCCATTACTAGGTCACAGAGATATTTTCCTGTATTTACCACATAAACTTTATGGTTGCACCATACACACTTAGGCCTTTAAATCTGTTTCAAGTCTACCTTGGTCATAGGGTGCTAGATGAGGATCCAGTGTCATACTTACACATCGAGCTGTTGGTCCTTCCCGTTTGATTTGGAAGCCCTGTAACTTTTGAGGTCTGTGGCCTTATTCATTCAAGTGTACAGTCTGTGTTCCAGTAGAAGTACTGGATTATGGCTGCTGGATGGGAGCTGCCTCCTGCTGTTCACAGAAATGGACAGTAGGGGACACCCCTTCGCCTTGTGTACTTATAAACTGTGTGAGCTTGGACAAATGACTGGATGACTCCCACCCGAAAAATGGGTACAACTGTTCTGAGGGTTCTTGCGAAGATTAATGGAACTGCTGAATGTGAAGTGCTTTGGATACGCAGGTATTTTCCTCCTCCTTGCCCGCAGCTCCCATCAACATTGCCTCTTCTCTTTACTGTTCCTCTAAGGGCCATTTTAAGGCCTTCATTATTCTACTATGTACTATACTTGCAGGGCTACTACCTCGACATCATTCTAAAAACATGTTAAATAATGTTTACAAATATATGGGATTCAGATGCATTGCATTTGATTGGTTGAAATATCATGTAGACATTTAAAGTTTTGTCCATTGTAATTTTGCCGTGTTGGGTTTTTTTCCTTCATATTTTGAAGCGTTTTTTTTAAAGGTCTAAAATGTTTTCACAAATTCTAGGTGTTTTGCTCATGGCATTTAGTGGATAAAGCAGCTCAGCCTCCTCTACCTCAGCAACCCTAATCTTGTGGCCACCATTAGCCCTTCTGTGTAGATACTGACTCAGAACCCAGCCTCTTCCCCCTCCTGAGCCCGAATCCCATCTTCCCATCAGTGGACCCCACTAAGCACTGTGAAATTCTTCTAGTGCAGTAGCCAAGAACACAGGCCTGAACCAGGCCAGCTGGGTTTAAATTCTTGTTCTGGCATTTACCGACTGTGACCTTGGGTAAGTTTGTTAACTAAACTTCTCTATGCCCATCTCCTAATATGTAAAATAGAACACAAATGATACCAACCTCAGAAGGGCTGGTGTCAGGATGTATAAAAGGAGTCCTAAGTACAAAGTGCCCGGATAAATACTAAATTCCCAATTATTATTACAGTTCTGTTCAGAAAAGTAGTCATCGCCACAGGATGCACCCCAGTGTTTTCAAAACTGGCTTGCTCAGAAAAATTGCTTGGAGTACTTGATACAAATAGATTCCCCAGGCCAGTGTCTTGAGGAATCTGTTGGTCTGGGGTTGGGCTCTACAATCTATATTTTAACAAGTACTCGAAACTTAGATTCAATCTCAATTTTGTATTCTAGGAATCATGTAGTGTTAGGCAAATTATGGAATCTCTCTGAGCCTGTTTCCTCCTATGTAAAACAGGGATAAAACCTATCCAGGTTGTTGTGAGAATTTAAAATAATAATATATATAACACCCAGCATAACACCTGGGGTATAGCTCTCTTTTTCCTATTGGCTTAGTCACTCTGGCATAAAAATCTTGGGTTGATTTTGTCTTTTTCCAATTTCTTGAAGCAAATCTTTTCTTTTTTTCGAAATTTCTTTTTATCATTTTTTTTTAAAAAAGGCTCTAAACTTTTCTGAGTACAACTTTATCTGTACCACACAGTCTTTTGTTTTGTTTTTTTTTCAACTATGATAGTTTTAATTACTATTGTTTTTGAAAGAATGTTTCTCGGTGCAGTTATATTTGCACTTTTATTCAATCAGATATTATAGTTATAACACATCTCTCTGAAGTATACTGGTTTCTAGAAAAGTATAATGGACAGAAAAGAAAAATGTGTATTTTCTATTTATAGGGGTAGAATTATCCAAGCTCATTGCCTATGTCAAATATTCTGTACCCTCACTCATTTTGGTCTTTTTCAGTGTTTTAACTGGAGTCATTAAAAAACTCACCTTTGTGATTTTTTCCCCCATATCCCCATATCAGCTATACTACTATTTAATAAATTTACTTTTAAAAAGAAGCCAGTATCATTTGTCCTTTCAGCTCAACATGAATATGGGTCAAGCGCAGGGCATTGTAGACCCTAAAATATTTGAGAACATGTCATGAGCTGAATTGTGGGTCTCCCCAAATTCGTATGTTGAAGCCTTAACCTCGGGAGGTGACTGCATTTGGAGATGGGGACTTTAGAGAGGCGACTGGCATTAAATGACAGCATACGGGTGGGACCTGATCCAACAGAACTGATGTCCTTATCAGGAGAGGAGGAGCACAGAGAAAAGGCCACAGCAAGAAGAGAGCCATCTACAAACCACGGGGGCCTCAGAAGAAAATAAACTTGCCAATACTTCGATCTTGGCCTTTCAGCCTCGAGAACTATGAGAACATGTTTGTTGTGGTTTTGCCGGTATTTTGATATGGCGGCCTTAGCAAACTAACACAATGAATGAATGAGTGGTTCCCTTCTCAGCAGAGACCCTACCCAGAATCTAGGAGTGTTCTCTGTGACCCGACTCCACTTCAGACTGCCTGCTGGCGATATGGGGTCTTTCTTGGGACTCATAAGGCAAGACTCCCCTGGAAGCTCCCGGAGCTCACACCTCACTCTTTGTTGAGGGATTTCTGGGTCAAGTCACCTTGGGCAGCAGAGGTCTCCCTGCTCCAGGCCCTGCTAGAGAGACAAACCCTCCTCTTTCTAGATACTCTCTGGCTCTGACATTTAACTCTGTCCTGAACTTTCTGCAACTCCAGACTCCTGCGTCCAACTGCCTACTCAGCACCTCTGCTCAGATGTCTAACAGGCATCTCAGACTTGGCACCCAAAACTCGAGCTTCTGATATTCCCTTCAAACTAGCACCTCTTCCCAGTTTCCCCATCTCAGTGAAATGGCACCTCCAACCTCAACCCCTCCAGTGGTTGAAGCCTAAAATGCTGGGGTCATCCTTGACTTCTCTCTCCCACCTCACTTCCCATCCAATGCTAAATCCTATTGGTTCTACTCTCGACTTGTCAGAATAGGACTTACTCATCCCATCTACTGCTACCATCTTGGACCGAGAAATCATCCTTTCTCCCCCAGACCACTGCAGTAGCCTCCATCCTGCCCAAAGCCTCCGGCTGCCCTCAGCCCAGCCACCAGAGTGCTCCTGACACTCTAAGTGGGACCATTCAGTCCCCTCCTCTGCTCAGAGCCCTTCAGTGGCTCCCAAGAGCACCGGTTCATAATGACCTGGGTACTTACGCCACCTAGCATTCTATAAATCGACTTATAATTTCCGCCCGTTTCCTTCAACTGTAACGTAAACCCCTTGAGGACAAAGGTTATTGATGCTTGTTCATTGCTGAACTCACCGGCCTAGAATAGTACCTGGAACATAGTATTTACTGAAGAAATGAAGGAGTGACTGTGTACATTCACCCACCCCACCTAACCACACACCCCTTCAGAGCAAGGTCTGTGTTTGTTTCAGTCATATATATACATATAAAGAAAAAGATTTATTGTAAGAATTGATTCATGCAGGTACGAAGGCTGAGAATCCCACGATATGCCGTCTGCAGGCTGGAGCCTCGGAAAGCAGTGGTGTCGTTCAATTCGAGTCCAAAGGTCTGAGAACAGGGGGGCGCCGAGGGCAGAAGATGGATGTCTCAGCTCAGGCAACCAGGTAGGAAGAGCAAAATTCTCTTCTTTCTATTAAGGGCATCGGTGGGATGGATGATGCCCATCTATACCAGGGAGAGCAAACCGCTTTACTGAGTCCACTGATTCAAAATGCTAATTTCACTCAGAAACACCTTCACGAACCCACCTGAAATAATGTTTAGCCAAATATCTGGGCATCCCATGATCCAATCAGGTTGACACATAATTTAACCATCACAGTGCTTATTCAGTTGGTATCCACTGTGTCTTGGACATAAGGGGCATTCCCTAATTTTGTTTCTTGTCTCTTCAAGCAATAACAGCAACAGGCGGCCATGGGCTTTACAAAGTGCTGGGACCCAGAGTGAGCTGGAGTGGGGTGGGGCGGTTCTGCCACCCTAAAGACCAAGACTGACAGGTTAAATCAGGAGAAGCTGAAAACTGGACTTTGAAGAGCCAACGTCGCTAACATGTAACGTCAGCACGCTGACCAGGTCTGAGGGCCCAGCGTCACCGCCCCTCACTTGGCAGCTAGTTCTCACGATCCTCACCACAAAAGCTTGTACAAAGAATCCCAAGACCACCAGTCAGTAAGAAGGCACACAGGGTGGATAGCAATACCTTTTAATGGTTCACATTGTGTTTTTTTTCCCCCTAAAGATTTATAACAAAAACACATGGAACTTAATAGGAATTTCAATCCATTGGGCGATTACAGAATCTAAACAAGACAAGTCCGTAAAGTATGGTCCTTCTTGCGGGGGCAGAAGGCTCTGCTCCACTAAGCAGAGAGAAACCACAACATGATTAGGCACGATCATCTCATGCTGCCTAGTGTTCTGGTTTCGGAGACTGGCAGACTTGGAGACAAAACAAATTAAAAAAATAAAACTCAACATTCAACTGCCTCGATTTGCTTGTCCTTTTTTCCTTTTCTCATTTTTGTCATATAACCAGATGAGGACGTGAGGCAGAGCCCTGGGGGACAGGGTGAGGTGCTCTGCTGACCGAAGGCCAGCCGATGCAGGAGTTCCCTGAGGTGACCGAGAAATGGACTTTGAACCAACCACTGGAGCTACAAGAACTGTTGGTGGGAGGCCTGGTGTCCACAGCACATGGTTAAAATCCAACTTCTACAGTGAGAAGACCTAAATATAACCCTTAGTACATTTACACAGAAATCTGTAACTGCAGAGTTAATACCTGTTCATCATAATACAAGTTGGAATGCTAACAAGGCGTGAACACTTCTGCCAAAAGCCCACCAGGCACAGTCATTCATTCAACAGAAGAAATCAAAACCATTTGGTTTTTAAATAAAAATCCTTCACATCCACCTGTATTCAATAATAATAATAACTTATGACATTAATGGCTTCCTTAAAAACAAGCAATAACCATAAAAGAGTTAAATCGTAAGTGTGGAAAGACCTATTTTCCTATAAATGTAGTTCTTAGAAAGGGACAGATACATAACACACATGAAAAATAAAGCCGTGATATTTTGTTTTTAGCTTAAAGCTAATGTTACCAAAAAAAAAAAAAAAAAAAATTTTTAGAAAAGTGAGTGTTTCACTTAGACCTGCACGCAATAATCTAAATAAAGACATTTCCCCATTTTAGGTGTCCATCTGCTTCTATGATAAATAATGGTGTAAATTATATTAGACTACCAAGTTCCATGCAGTGGAATATTACTTCAAATAGGCTGGCCAAGTAGCCATATCCTTTCCTAAACAGAAAAATAATAATTAGTGATGTAGCACACGGGGGCAAATCTGGCCAGACTCAATGATAACTGTACTTGTTTTGAACATATAACTGAGTAGGGAAGACACTGCTAAACAAGCCAGTCGAGCAGCACAGCACATTCAAGTCCCAGGGTGGTTCACCGTCTGTCAGGGGACAGGCCACTTCACCCCCAAGTGAGCCAAATCACGCCTTCCAAGCAAGAAGGCACCTTATTTGCATACTAGAGCCATGACTTGCTTTTGGACAAAAATCGAGTGCTAACATTTTTCATCTCTAGTATCATTAACACTTTGGAAAAAAATAAAATAAAAAAATAATCAACATTAGAAAGCTTGACAATGAGAATAAGAAAAACCACACAAGGAAAGTCACGCTGAAACTGCTTCGACAGTTGTTCCGTCACTGCCCACCACCTGGGCTTGCGGCCAGTGACTTCATGGACGCATCCTTTCGATGCACCGCCAAAGGTCAGTTTCAAGTCCATTGTGGTGACCCCAGTGTGATGCTGCCTGCCTTCCACTCACCAGCTCCTACCCACGAGATCCGAGGGGGCCTGGCGTGGTGTGAGCACAGGACACATGGGTGTCAAGGCCTGAGAACCTTCCTGAAAGCTCCACCTTGGATTCGGGCGAGGAGGCACCGTAGTGTCTGGAAAACGTGGCGGCAGCATCCACACTGGGACTTAACCTCAGCAGCCGGTCTGCAGGATGCTTCCCCCAGAACGCTTGGTCACTGACAGGGTCGTGAACACCTGCAGGAGGAGACAGCACGAGATACTCAGACACCAAGCCAATGAGCTCACGGGGGGTAGTACAGATCACACCATTCGGATTGAGAACGAGTTAAGCGACTACTTAAAATGAATGAATGAAACAGAGAAGTAATATGACCAAGGAAAGCCTCAATTTCTCCAGAGGATAAATGGGGAAAAAAAAAACATTTCAAAACCAAGGTGAAAGAGAAAAAAAAAAACTGAGGTTATATCTAATGACATTTATTGGCATAAGGATGATGAAAACAAATCAGTCACCCTAGTTGCTTGTCTATTCTCTAAAAGAAACGCATCATGAAATATTTTGGATCCGTAGAAAGGGATAAGTGTATTATTACAAACACCCATGTGCCCACCCAGCTTAGGGAGCTTTATGAACACGGTTAGAGCCCCAAGTGAGCCCCTCCCTGGGCATCTCCCCTCCTCCCCCTCATCAGTGCTCACCATTCCTAGGCATTTTTCCTGCTTTCTTTTGCAGGTTTTTAAAACCTTTACGTGAAAGTGGCAAGATGATGTACGTACTCTACTGCTACCTGCTTCTTGGCACGATTCTCTATTTCTGTGAGTCACCCGTATGAACAGAAATAGCTCTAATTCTTCCATTTTTCACTGAATAGTATTCAGTTACTACAATACACTATATATGCTGGACACTACAATACTCGATTATTCAAATAGTGAATCTATTACGATGACATATCCAGGCTCCTTTGGCTGGCCTTCCAAGCTATTGCCAACATGCTCTGTGACATTCCAATAGTCTCCTCGCACCCAGAGCTAGAGCTGGAGGGCAGGTGCGACTTTGACGTGATGGGATTTCCGAGGTGCCTGACCAACTGACCCTCTCACCTGACATGACTACAAGTTCTTGTTTCACATCCTTGCAAACGTTTGGTGTTTGCAGACTTAAGAGTCTTACCATCTGCAGGCAGCTTTTACTTGCTACTGATGAAGATCACTTATACACAAAAACAACGGTTCTCAAACTTTAGTGAACGAAGCCTGGTCACGTACTGATTAAATACACAGAAGATATACGGGCTTTAATTTGGCAGACCTAGGAAGGGCCCAGGAATCTCGTTTCCAGCGAGAATGCCAGGTGATTCGTTGTAATGCAGGTTGCCTGTGAACCACGTTAGAATTTCCCGTGGAACACAAGTGTCGGCAATGCACTGTGAATTCCTGGCAACACCCAGGAATTCAGGCGGAGGCAGCTCGGATTTGTGGGGAGGAATTCCCCAGAGGCGGAAGCTACCCAGAGAAAGATCTCTAGAAGTCTGCATGCAGGTCCCCATCTCTGGCTGAATACCGAACTGGGCAGGACCCTGCAAGGCCCGGGAAGAAAGTACAGCCAGAGAGCTGTGAGCCCAACAACCACCAGCGCCCATTTGGCGTTGGGAGTCCAGAGGCCTCGCCGAGGCAAAGTGGAGACCCCAGAAAGCCACACTAAGCATTACCAGCCTAGAGTAAAAGCTACTCTAGACCACCTGAATGAAGCTTAAAACCAGCCTCCAAAGCATCAAATGAGCCATGAAGACGTTAACGGTCCAACACAAGAAAATGCTATCTTCTTTAAAGAAGGATGACAAAACCCAGGTACTGAAAGGCGGGGAAAAAAAAGATTTAAAGTGCTGAAAGGAAAAAAAAACAAAAACAAAAAAAAACAAAAACCCTGTCAACCTAGAATTCTACAGTCAACAAAAATGTACTTCCATGAAGAAAGCAAACTAAAGACATTTTCAGACAAACGAAAGCTGAGTGATTTTGTCACTAACAACCAACACTACCAAAATGTTCAAGATACTCGCAGCTGAGGGAAATGGTAACTAGGG